CGCGGCCAATCCGATGCTAGTCTTTTGCTACTTCCCACAAGTAGCCCCAACACTTCGGTTTCCAGATCTGCTGTGTTGCATCACCTAACTTCAGATGAACCACACACTCTGGCCACTTCAGCAGCAGCAGGTATCACTTACAGCGGCCAGATGAGGGCGCCAATGGTATTTTTGAAACCATCTGGAGTAGCAGGCCAGGGCAATGGGCACCCAGTGCAGACATCACATTCTGGCTACTTGCAACATGAAAAACCAGCCCATATGCCAGGTAGACAGTTATCAGTTTCGTTTGCCAAACTCCTATTATTCAAAATACTAATATATTTTAGATCACTAATCTAGCTAATTGGCTTGATATTTTCTCGTTGAAAGCGGATAGTTACAAATTAAGAGTTTAGGTTATCTGCACCAAAAATAATAACCCATCATGTTAGTAAGATTCTAATGCCTATTTTTCGATGCTGAAACATTCATTAGATATTATTTGACCTTGTTTTCTCAACTTGGTCATATTGGTAGGAAGACTTAGAGGAACGCGCCTATTCCATTGTATGCATGTTAATTTCCCGATTCGGACCGTGGACATGGTACATTATCAGACATTTCGCCGGCATCGTTACTGAGCATTGCCAGTCTTAACGCCACACTACAACTCATCAAAGAGACAAATGAAGCTGATCCTTTGTGAAAACAAGGTTAAACAACTTCTATACAACAAAACGAGACTGCGACCACACAAAAGGCCACACCATCTTGGTCTTGATACCTTGGAGTAGATAATATTGTTTATAATTTACTAATGCAAATTTATTCTCTATGAATTAACTTCATTATGGCATATCTCATTTATGAGCTCCCTATCATTCAGACTCATAAAATCCTGTGAAGATAAAATTGCAAAAGTTTTCCCCTTATTTCCTCATAACTGAGACTTGTTAAAATAACATTTCAGCTTTACCCTCAATTTCTCTTTTTATCTACTCAGCATGCCTTAAATCTCTGCCAATTCCCATGACGTTCTAGTCAGCTCATTTATTTGAATTCAATCTAACTTTGTATGCCCATAGCTTGGGACTTTTATCTTAGGTGATAGACTCTATAACCCTGGCTTTGGTGCAAATGTGTGTATCTCACCTGCAACAGTATCACTTATCGAGTTAGTCAGGATATTGCACTTGTGAATGTGAACCCAAAACATGACATGACATCATAATCGTAGGATATTTTTTTTATCTACCTCAATAATATTAATATTAGCAATAAATAATTAGTATAGTTATATAGTTATTTTAGCATTTCATCGCTTTTTTCTTTAGCTAAGAGCTTAACCTTATCAACGTTTGGTAATGTATTCAGCCAATGGTCCAGTGCTAGAAATAACAAATACTGGAAGAGGACAAGGGACTAGGTGCGTTCCATGAGGTCTCCCTGACGCTCCACCAAAGTTACGAAAACTAGGTCGAACCAATAGTATAAAGCTAAAGAAGACTGAGACCAAACAGAAAGCCACGCCATCTTGGTCTTCATATATACGATTTAACCTTATCAAGCCTGATAGCAATGCTAGAATAAGACAGAGAAATATGAGGAAATATGCTCACTAATTATCTTCTTATTGTCTATTTCTTCATCTTTTTCTTGCAAAGATAGTTCTATATGTATATAACTTGTATAGTCCACGCTAGGACCTCGACAACTTTTTAAGTTTAAATTTCCCTTCTTCATTGTTGATCACCTTACATCAGGTTCTAGTGCAATCGGCTATGAGTGGGACGCCCAGCGTCTAATGCGGGCTGAGAGGGAAGATTTGGAGTGCGAATGGGCCAAAGTGCGCAGAAGAGAGGATTTGGAACTGCCCGACCTCGTGCCTCTGCCTGAGGCCACGCCGGTAATCTGGACAATCATTTCCTTCTATTTGAAATAGCCCATATTTTTTATATTCCATAAAGTTTTTAGAACTAAGCTTTATCTATTCACAGAGTTATTTGATCCAGGGATTCTTGCATATCTTATTCCATAGATTTTTTTAAAATTATTTTCTTTTAATCGGGTTTATTTTTTTTAATTATTAAACACTTCAGTTTTAGCATTATACTGCAATTGCGTTCTATATCTTATATTAATTCATATAAGTATAAAAAGAATTTGTCTTCAAAATTCTTCGATGCAAAAACCAAGATTATATGGTCTTCACTTTGATCGCAGCCGTATAGTTTTGGTTTGACCTCGTTTTTGCAATTTGGTCGAAGGGACATAGAGAATTTATCAAAGATTTACTCCTGCGCCGTCTGCCATAATATTCGCGATAATTTCCAGCATCGGAGCGTTGACATGAGAATATGAAAAAGGTTGCAAGTATAAGAATCACGACTTGAGAGCAGTCACCGCTAAGGCTCACTCAAAACCTATTGTATATTTGCGAAGAATCTCTTGTTTCATAATTGTTAAGCTTACTTCCATTTCGAGTAAAAGTGTTGAGTGAAGAGATTTGAAGGTCTGTTCCACTAGAAGACGACGGCGGATTCCTCTTGACCAGCTGTCGATTGGCTTTACTGGAAGATTCATGCT